AGAATTTGTTATCCTTTAGATTTCTCCTACCAATTCTTTCGCATATTACAGTCGAACAAAGTGACAAAATTGAGAATTTCCATGTGAACGGTTGTGTCACACCGTCACACTGTGCAGACAAAGTGAGGTAAATCCTAAAACCACTGATCAGTGGTGATAATAATGGGGTGACAGGCCTACACAACTCCTGTCCACGTGTAATAGCTGCTTTGAAAGTTTTGCTTGAACTAGTATATCTTTAAGGATCTGCCCCTTTTGTATACATTGTACAACAGGGGGATCTTTGAATATTTCGCTAGGCAATAATCCTAGTCACCAGAGTGGAGTCGTTAATAGAGGTCATAGGTCTGTGTGGTTTCCGTTGTTATCCGCGTGTAATTTGTAGAGTTTCCACGAACATGTTGGTTACTTGCATTTTGTATTATTACGCCAGGCCCGGCTGTTTGATTAACTGTTGCAAGTTATCCTGCTTCTTGTCATGGGTGTCATATTTATCTTTGTCTGGCTTCGCCAGAGATAGGTGTAGCTTTCCTTGCAGAAAGCTATACGGTCTGTCTTAGAGAGACGTTCTTATTTTTGTTGCATCAATTTCATTGAGCTTTTGTCCTTCCAGTTTGTTCGTTCTGGCACTGCAAATGTAGATGTTCACGCGCAAGTCTGTGCACTGTTTTGCATGTTGTTTATGATATTGTGTGGTTTTGTTCAGGCAAAAGCTCTGAATTTAGGAGTTCTTCCTATGATTGTTCATCCAGCTGCATGTTGTGGTCGTCATTGCTTTTATTTGCAATGTTGTCTGGTTTTCTTGAGACTTTTAATAGTCCTTCTTTTCTTAGGAGGCTCGTAGCCTTGCCGTTCAGGGTGGGGGGGTGGGGTATATACTAGTTCGAGCAAAACTTTCAAAGCAGCTATTGCAGGTGGATAGGAGTTGTGTAGGCCTGTCACCCCATTGTTATCACCGCTGATCAGTAGCTTTTAAGATTTACCTCGCTTTTTCTGCACAGCATGACGGAGTGATGGCATGACACAACCTTTCACATGGAAGTTGTCGATTTTGTCACTTTGTTTGACTGTAATATGCGAAAGCTACACAAGAATTGGTAGTAGAAAAATTAAGGATAATAAATTCTTAACAACAACAAAAGACATTGTAACTATTTTACACGGGTAGGGGGGTTTCACAAACCCATGCGTTTTTTCACTTTCCTTAACTCCTCTTCGGATATTGGGTGATTTTCTATCATTCTGTCTTTTAGGATTTCGGGTGATTTTCCATCATCCTGTCTTTTAGGATTTCAGGCGATTTTTTGTCATTCCGTCTTTTAGGAATTCAGTTGATTTTCCGTCCTTCCATCTTTTAGTATTTCAGGGGATGTTCCGCGATTCTGTCTTTTAGGATTTGGAGTCATTTTCCACCATTCCGTGATTCCGCCATTCCACTGTTTTGTCATTCTGGCTTTTAGGGTCGCCCACCACTGAAGACTTCGTATGTAAACAAATGAGACACTATGATGTTGTAAATTTGTTTAAGAACTTTTCGAAGAGTTATTATTACAGGCGAAAAGCTCTTTCAGAAAATATATTTTGTGTTTCTAAACAAACGATAATCAAGGAAACTTGGAAGGCGAACTTTGTAAATTCTACCCTGTTTGCAATGCGGTAAAACATTGGTTGTGATAAGCGCATAAATGATTTTCTGAACACCGAAATCTCATGGGTTTGCCCTGTGCATTCCTCCTACTTTGAAGATAATCCCATTGAATGAAATCTTTTAAGACAGCAAGTAAGATAACAATCATATTGTTGTGACGCCTCTAATTTGTTAAAGTTTCAAACTTTACTGATGCGTAAAAAGTCACGCTTTTGTCATGCATGCATGTATAGTCCTGTGCTTGTGCTCACTGACTGAGAAACTTGCTTGTTTTAAAATTTGGGTTACTCAAGGAAGCTACTTCCCAGTAAATATGTTGTTTTTTTTTTTAACCTTTGCCACAGGGGCCATTTTGGACAGAAAAAGCCATTTCATATAAGCTAATTTCGCGTCACTACCACACCGTGGGTCTGGGACTCTGGGACATAGCGTAATAAAAATTGTAAACAGTAAGATTTCCACCATGTCGCTGAAAAACAAAACAAAGTGAACCCAGTATCTAATTCAGAACCAACCAATAAAAATGTACTGTTATGAAACTGATGAAAATAATTGTAAGCCAACAAAAAGCCAAAGGCTCTCTCTCAATCTGTAAAGTTATTTTGAGACACTCTCGATTCACAGGTTGCTTAGCACGTGACCAAAATCTTCCTACTGTCAGTGTGATAAAATCTACCGAACGATTCATTTGCGAACGAAAACTCTCTCCAAGAATGACTTCAGCAGTGTTTAGACTTTATATGGCTTACACTTTAGAACTAAGACCTCTTGTGTAAGTAAGGTCAACGATTTGTTTGTTCGTCAGTACGCGTGAGAATCAATTTCTTCTTCGACTGTACGTTTTGATGGATTAAAAATACTTTGTAGAACATGTAAACAGCGGGTTACGCTGATCAAAGAATTCAAAGTTTCATCAAACCCGCATATGTTCATTACTTTTTCTTTGGCCGTTTGAACGGCTGCCGTCATCTCTTCTAAATATTTCTTAGGCCGTTCAAAGTAGCTGCTGGTATCGTCTGAATTAACAGGCGTACGTTTCATAATTCAGGTCGGTCCAAATTCGAATTAAGTTCAGCTCATGAATAGTTCGTTGTCTGATCTGAACTTTAGGGTTTAACTGTCAAGAGTTAAGAATTTGTCATTTTAATACTTCTTACGGTAAGTGCCAGCGCTGGAAAAATATAAATTCGACCGTTCCTGGCACCATGGCAAGTACTGTCTTGATATGCATTTTCGTGTGCTAAGTTCCCAGTGCAAAGAAGTTCTTGCAGTTTTAACTTCTAATCGCAAAGAAGCTCTTGCGCCTTGCAGGATCCAAGC